ATATATTTAAAAATATATATTCTGAATCGATATATTTTTTTTGAACTGTATATATATATATATATATATATATATATATATATATATATATATATATATATATATATATATATATATATATATATATATATATATATGATTTATAAAAATTAAACCCATACCATTTGTAAAATTAGAGATTTGGATTGGTTTAATTAATGAATCGATAGTGAACTCAATTGGACTAATATCTTTTAAATTTAAATCAATCCCGTTTGAATCAATTAATTAAATTATTTATTAGTTTCTCATTAAATCATTTTGACAATCTTATAATCTTAGATAAAATCATATAAGATACTTTTATAATTTAAAAAAATATGTTAACATCCTGAAAATATTGAGATACTAAATACTGCTGCAATCTTAGGATTTTGAGAAAAAAATTATCAAATATCAAGTTTATATTTGATATGTATATTAGTTTTAAATGTTTTCTAGAAGGAAGATTGTTGGGATCCGGTCACCGATTTATTCGCACCATCGCATATAGGCATGGCGGCGATCGTTGCCATCTTTCAAATTCTATTCTTGAATCGGGTGATCTCAGATGCGGTGACCATACCTCATCGTTTGCCTTGTCGCACAGAGATATTATGCAGCGAAGCGCATACGGAACGAGACGGAAAGGGCGCTTCGCGTCTTCGTTACATTGGACGGTGGACATTGGCCTAGCCGGCAGAATGGACGGTCGCACATCGATTAGATTCTATGCGGGTCATTCGGCGTGGGGCCGCTCGTATCGGGTTGGTCGGGAGAGACGACTCTCTTATCCGCTGCGTGAGCCGCCGTGGGTAGTGTATGAATGGAAGAGCATGCTTCTTCGATCGTCGTCACGTTTACTTGCTTCTTTGGGCAGTGTATGCACGGAAGACGATACTCCCTGTCGCTCGGACGTGGAAAGTCTGTGATGGTAGCAGAATGATCCACGAATTCCTCCATTGTCGTCATGTGTTTTTTCCACGGTGATGCTAACTAAACATTGAAGTCTCGGAGCAAATAGTATGAATCAAGGAACAAGAATCCAAAACGAGAAAGAACATCAAGACACGGACTAAATCAGACACTAATCACCGTGCGCGTGAGGGCAGAAGACTGTTGTTCTATGCTCAGCTGCAGCTCTTATTGTTAGCTCAAGCCTGATCAATCCTTTTCCATCGTTTCTAATGACGTGCAGAACCTATCTCGTGATGGCTTCTGAGATATTTTTTATCTCGTCGCCAAGCCGTCAAAACACGACAGAAACGAAAGCAACACTTTGACGGATTTTTCTGACACTTGGAGGTCGCCCTACATCATTGACAATTACTCCTCATCAGCTAACTCACTCACTCGAGGGTTGTGGACCATCACACTTGTGAACCACTGCTTCACATGGACTGTACAGATAGATCCTCCACAGCTTTTGTTCTTCTGATTCCGCAAGTGCTCTTCGAGACCAATTTGGCGTGAAGTACTTGGATTATCTTTGAGTTGAGGTTTCCTTTAGCTGGGCAAGTCTATTGGAATATATGCTAAACTTTGTGATTAGATGGAATTCTGATTTAAGAATCTTAGTTAAGACAAAAATGGAAGATTCTCGACCTGAGATGAGATGGTCGCCGTCGTCGCGAGCAACCTCTACGTCGTCTTCGTGACGTCCAACCCCCAAGCAACCGCCTCTTATCCCTTGGGACCCTCCACAAGGGCGACGTGTTCGTCTTTCTCGTTGGCTCCATTCACTTTCAGTTCGAAGTGCATGAATGAAATTTACCTGTCGATGCTGAAAATCTCACCAACTCCGATTGACCATCTCCCTCCAGTCGACAAGCGTGAAACGAAGTTCGGTGGAAGGAACAACTGCCCACCATCCCTTAATTTGACGTCTTTCTTGTACATGAATTGGATCGACAACGATCGAAAATTAACACCAGCAATGGGTTGTTAGCATGGTGCTAATGAGGAGGAAGGTGGGGTGCTGGCTTGCAGACCAGAATGTTGTCCGGGAAGGGAAGATGCTCGGAGGAATCAGACCAATGAGTTTCAACGTCATTCTCTTGGGCAAGTGGTGGTGGAGCATTACGATGACCGAGACTTCTCTTCTGGCCGAGATCATCAAATGTGGAGGTATTAAAGGAGATGGAAATTTGATCAGTCCCTCCGGTAGCTAGGTTTTCTTCTTTCCTCCACTAACAGATGGATATATTCCAAGATCAGCATTGTATAGCTTCTTACTTTACTCGTCATTTTTGGCTGAGTCGATCGATCGGTCCCTCCCAATTACTGTCGAGGCTTTCGCCTGGATGGCTGTCGATAATGTGACCGACCAGTCTAATTATGAGGTGAAGAGAGCAAGGATGTGCCAGTTATAATTCTCGGGAGACACATGTTCTTGCAATGCCAAGTTGCCAAGAAGGGTATGGTCCTGCAAGGTTCTGAAACCTTATCCCTATTAAGGCAGGCGGCCAACCTTGTTCTTCTGTGCAGACAAGAGTTTCATGTGTTCCGAGAAGGACATTTCACTTGGATAGATTCACTAATCACCACAAGCTTTATTTTTATTATAGAACAAACCATACACCGAGGTAAACCTCATGACGTCATTAAAGCATGCATGGCATACGAGAGTATCTTAATTGGCTTGTACTAAGCGTTGTCTATATTCTTGAGAGATGTCCAACCACTGCTGCTGCTGAAGCCAGCCCACGGTCGTCTTGCTAAGCTGCACGGCCTGGGCAAGAATGTAATCAGCGATGGGCGGCTTCGATCCGAACAGTGCGTTGGCGGTGGTGACGAGACCCGGGCTCTGGCTGCCAAAGGTAGCGAACGCCACCGCATCGGTGTCCCCGATGTTGAACTGGAAGTGTATGAGGCCCCTGGGGAACACAAACGCGTCGCCCTTCTGCAGCTTCTTCGCGAAGAGAAGGTTGCCGTTTTCCGTGTTGGAGGTGACGAAGCCGGCGTAGAGCGTTCCTTCCGCCACGTGCAGTATCTCCGACGATCGTGGATGCGAGTGAGGAGGGTTGAGACCGAAGGGCGCGTAGTCGATGCGAGACATGGCGACGCCAAGGGAGTTGAGGCCTGGGAGTCGTTCCACGTTGACGAGAGTGATGTTTGCGCCTAGCTCGTTGGCGGTGCTCGCGGGCTTGTCTAAGCCGGTGAAGTAGAAGTCATCTGCCGTGACATCCTTAGCTTTCTTGCAGGCGAATCCGTTCACAAACACTGCAGCGTGCACGATGAACAGGCTTTAGCAACTTGAGCAAGTACACACACGAGGACCTAACTAGCTAGCTACGAGGATAACGATGCCTACCGTTGGAGTCGTAGTCAGCAACGCAAAAGTCTTGGAGAGGACTCGGATCAAATGCCAATGCATGAGAGGAAGCCAGGGCAAGAAGAGCAGCGATGAGGGTGATCCTAGCAGCCATCTGCACTCTCTTCGAACAAGCAAGATGAAATGATGCAAGTTTCTTTGTGACTGGCCTCAGGAATCGGGATGTATATATAGAAGGCCCCGTGGTAGTGTTCAATTGTGAACTGGTCGATAGAGTATGTATTCCGCACGGCAGTGTGCTGACTAATTCAGCTGATGACGACCTCGACTGCCAATGACAACTCCCTCAGTTCCAACCTAGATCTACCACTAACCTAAGGTTCATGAAAGTTTTGGTTGGATAATATGTCATTTTGGAGCATCCAACATCGACCCTTCTGCCCCATCAGTATCACGTTCTTGACATTTTTATATCTTGGTGGCAATGACCAGTTAATAGCCAATGAAATTTTATCAGCCAATGCTTCTACACTACCAAATTTAGTATGTAATCGTGGTATCATAATTGAGGATATGAGGAAGAAGTTGAGAGCAATTTGTCTTGCTTCATTTTATGCGCTAAACTCCACTGCGGCAGCCGAATGCCTTGACTCCTTGTTCACTTGTCGACCAAGGAACTTTGAATACTGAAACTTCTTCCACGTATGCTTCTGCATGGAAATTTTAGTTCCTTCGGTCATTAAAGAGACAAAACAAGAAAGCTTAACTGATTGAAACGCGAAAATGATCGGATATTCATATTCTAATTTGAGCCCTTTCTTTCTTCTGCCCAAACGTCAAGTAATTTTAAGTAAACGAAAACCATCTGATATCGTATTCTAATTTGATAGGTCCGAGCGAGCCATTGGTTGGCAAGGACTTGAGCCCTTTCTTTCGTTCTTCTGCTCAGGTGCAAGATGTTTAGCGAATGCCCATTAATTTTCTTGGTTTTCGGATACCTATATATGCTCTTCCTTGCTGTATCCGTCAATCAACGTGAAGAGTATAAGATGAAACGTTCTAAACACAAAGATAAGAAAGCAATACAAGAGATGGGACGTCGACGGTGGAATATTCGAAGAAGTATTCAATTCGGTACGTTCGATCATTTCCAAACGTGACTGTGATGCAATGAACCTATCCAGGTTTTGAGAAAGACATGAGACCGTCACCAGGCAATAACTAGGGGATTAGGCATCAGTACTTGGCATGTTTTATTATTATTATCGCTTGAATCGCATCGAAAGCTCGACTGACCTCTCATCTTGTCAAATCACAACAACAAGTAAAACAACGACTATGAAGGATCGCTGATATGCCATTTACTCACAAAGAGCCGTTGACCATGTTGCACTGGATCACCCACTTACCTAGTGATCATCTCCGGGAAACTTCTCTGCCTTTCACCAAGCTCTCATCGAGACATAGAATAATGTAATACTTTGATGCGGATGCAGATGATCGTATGCGACGTTCAAGCTCTTCCAGATCAGTTCTTCATCTGATTGTTTGATAAACGTTATACACTTTCAACGCGGATCTAATCCCTAATAAACAAAAAGAACTCTCTGTATTAGATCTCGGTTAAACTGTTGCACAAGGCATATAAGTCAACGATTGAGCTGACTGTAAATTTCTTTCGGTGGTCAAAATCACTACAATACGACGTGCATGAACCATCTCCACCTCCTCTTCCTCTTCTCACTCTATAATCTCTCAATCTCCCCAAAGGCTTCCTCCTCCTCTTAACGCCGTCTCCTACTCTACCTCTAACCCCCTCCTCCCACTCTATCTCCACCACCACCATCTTGTTCTCTCACTTTGTCTAAAAATAAAAAAAATATATATATTAATTTTAAATTAGTTTCATTTTGAGTGTTACTAGGTCAAATATTCGTTTTTTTTTTCTTTATGAAAACGAAAAAAAAGGAGAGAAATATGTATTCACTTGTAGTTGGTAGGTTGGACTGAATCTTTACCTCAATTTTGTCTTATGTTGGAGTCCGGCTAGTCCCTTCTAATTAAGTTCTCGGGCGTCATCCCGGATGGCTGTCGACGACGATATTTTGACTAAGGCTACTCTAATTATTAGGTGACGAGAGCCAGGACGTACAGACTGAGGCTTTCAGAATTCTCAGGAGACTGCTGACCACCCTTTTGATTTTGCCGCGTGGCCAAGTTGCCAAGAAGTTTCTCTTGGCCAATCATTCATGGTTCAGAAACCTGGACCTGCACGGTTCTAACCTTTTATGTATGCACGAGTTCCTTGTGCTCTAACATTCCTCATTCGCCAAGTACACACACAAAGAAGTAGCTAGCTACGAGGATAACCATGCCTACCATTGGAGTCGCAGTCATCAACACAAAAGTATTGGAGAGGACTCAGAACAGATGCCGATGCATGAGAGGAAGCCAGGGCAAGAAGAGCAGTTATGAGGATGACCCTAGCAGCCATCTGCACTCTCTTTCGAGAGCTGTCGTAAATTAAGATACGAACAAGCAATATGATTTGAGAATGGCCAGCTTCAGCAGCGGGGACGTATACATAGAAGGCTATTTGGTGAATTAGTCGATAGTGCATGTATTCTTCACGTTAAGATGCTGACCAGTTAAGTGGATAATGACTGATGGCAAGCTGCGATAGTGAATCCGCCTTCACCACTAAATGTTAAGATCATTTAGTTGAAGCCTGTCGGGCTTCTGCTTGTCGGACGGCACCTCTTCCTTGTTCAAATATTATTTTCAAGAAAGAAATACTGTGTAGAGAGAGAGAGAGAGAGAGAGAGAGAGAGGGAAACATTCACACATTATAAATATTATTAGTGATTATTATCAGTAGATAATAGTGACAGATGATATATTAGACTGCCGAATTTTATGGGGCATAAACAAGGCGTACGTGAACCCCCCCATCTTTTAGCACATTAAGCATGATAAATCATGGTATCGTTGACTATGACGATGCAAGAATCAGGACGCATAGACACATGCAGCAGTAGTTGGCATGTTTCTTTGGTCGTATACATTGCAAGCTCATCATCTCATCCAAGTGCAACAAAAGTAAAACGACGACTTTGACCGATTCCTTACGTGGCACTTATAGCGGTGTTCCGTTTCTCACAAACGGCCAGCCATTGACCATTCAAGACCAATATATGATTGGGCTCGAATGAGAAGGATGATCCTTGGATGACTAACGTGCTTGTTCCGTCTTCTCGAATGCTTTGCTTTCATCGCATATGAATTTGTTGACGGATCAAGCATGCACGCAACAATAGGCACATTTGCATACGTCAATGTTGTGTTTTCCAAAGAGAGGATGCGTCAGTGTTGATGACATGTTGTTGTATATTTCAAATTGGACTTGTGATTCTTGCAAATATGTAGAATATTGAACGCATAGGTAGGTGAGAGGTGGATGAAATGCAGCGCATGATATTGTGATATTTTGGATGGATGAAAACGTTGAAGTGAAGGAAAATAAATAAATCATCATCTTCCTCGTCTCCTCTTCAAACCCAATCCTATGATTAATTTTGGTGACTCGGAAGAAACAGTTCAAGTTTCGATTGGTAACATGGAAGTATCATCATTTAGACGATAAAGAAAGAAAACTAAAATTTTTAGTTTATGAAGACGAGATCGTGTTTGTTCAACCTGATTCCCGATGAGATTTAGCCGAGAATATAGCTAAGCATATATCCTCAGAAGAAGAAGAAGACTGCTGATCATCTTCCCTTGCAAGCCCAAGTTTGCTACCAAACATGAGTGAGTCACTTTGGACACACTTGCGGGCATGCAAGCAATGTTGTTTATCTAAAATTCTGGCTTCCATAGAAAAATCATTAATATCATGCAACTCCACGATGTCATGCTGATTATCCAAAATTCTAGCCAGAAATGCGTTGCTCTTTCATAGATACATCATTAGTGGTGTGCAACTCCACGTCGGATACGAAAGGCAATGCTACTGCTAGCTCGAAGATGCAGGCAGTCTCTCCTTCCTTCCTTCTAAAGGAGACTTGTTTATTCATAACATAAATCACACATGAGGTACTTGGAGTAATTACAATCATGTATTATGCAAGCATATATATATACATACTCGACTCGACCATACGTGAGTATTTTGTTGGACTGTATGCATCTTAAGAAGCGGTACCACACCCTAAGCTTCTTGAGCGATGTCCACCCACTGCTGCTTCTGAAGCCAGTCCACGGTGGTCTTGTCAAGTTGGACGGCCTGGGCAAGAATGTAATCGGGGATGGACGGGTGCGATCCGAACAGTGCGTTGGCTACGGTGACGAGGCCAGGGCTCTGGCTGCCAAAAGAAGCGAACGCCACCGCGTCGGTGTCCCCGACATTGAACTGGAAGTGGATGAGGCCCTGCGGGAACACGAACGCGTCGCCCTTCTTCAGCTTCTTCGCGAAGAGAAGGTTGCCCTGTTGGTTGTTGGACGTGACGAAGCCGGCGTAGAGCGTCCCTTCCGCCACATGCAGTATCTCCGACGAGTGTGGGTGCGAGTGAGGAGGGTTGAGACCGAAGGGCGCGTAGTCGATGCGAGACATGGCGACGCCAAGGGTGTTGAGGCCCGGGAGTCGGGCGGCGTTGACGAGAGTGATGTTTGCGCCGAGCCGGTTGGCGGTGCTTGCGGTCTGGTCTAAGCCGGTGAAGTAGAAGTCATCCGCCGTGGCATCCTTAGGATTCTTGCAGGCGAATCCGTTCACAAACACTGCAGCATGCATGATGAACAAGCTTTAGCAACTTGAGCAAGTACATACACAAAGACCTAGCGAGCTACGAGGACAACCACGCCGACCATTGGAGTCGTAGTCGGCAACGCAAAAGTCTTGGAGAGGACTCGGATCAGATGCCCATGCAAGCGAGGAAACCAGGGCAAGAAGAGCAGTAACGAGGATGATCCTAGCGGCCATCTATCTGCCCACAACTGTCGTAAAAGATTAATGAAGGAGTAAGATGAGTTTGAGAATGGCTAGCTAGAGGAGCGGGGATGCATATATATAGAAGTTTACCACCACGAACACTTGGTTTGGTTAACCAGTTGATGGTGTATGTATTCCCCACGTTATGATATGATGCCGACTAGTTTTGTTGATAAAGACTGATGGCAAGCTGGCAAGATTGAATCAGCTTTCTCCACTAAATAATGCTAAAAAGGAAACCATCAAAATTCATTTTCGAAGCATCCACGAGAAGGGAGTATGCATGGATGGGATCCTGCCATCGTAAGTTGGTTTGAATTTGGCGTTTTTTCTTATCAGGACAAGAAGCTGCGAGCAATTTGTGTTGCTTATCCTCTGCACCAGACTCTACTTCACCAGCTTGGTAGCCATATTAAGCTCTGACTCCCTTGTTTGCTCGACTTTCTTCGTTCCACGTCGCATGCTTCTGCGTGGAAGTGCATGCATTCTTCACGTTAAGATCCTCTCTCTTTCTTCGATCACCTCTCATCCTCCACGAGGAGACAAGCCCAGAATATAAATTTATATATATTTATATTTATATATTTACATCAGAAACATGGAACTCGTGGTATGAAGCCAATTCGCTGTCTTTCTTGTTGGTCACTTGGATGCCGTGCCACACAAGTCAATTCAACAAGTGCATGGAATTAGGATGATCTTAGCTCTCACGATCTACTCTCTCTTGGAACTGTCATAAAAGAAAGAGCAAGGAAGATGGAAGTCGTGATGGCGTTCAACACAATGGCGTCAAGAAATGAGATGTACATAAATAATTCTATGAGTTATTTACGTGTGAATTAGTAACTGATAGAAACAGACAATGCTAGTTTTATAAAGCTTAAGGTTAGGTTAGTAATGTCGTTTGTCTTTGTGATGTTAGTATGTGGTGGTGTCTTGAAAACATATGAAATCCATTGTCAAAATGGTGTGCAGTTGATCATTTACGTGTCAAAGAAGATCGATGGTAGCCAAAGAACCAACCTATTTTTTGAGCCAACCCAATGCTTCTATGCTACCAAACTTTAGTATGCAATCGTGGCATCATAATTGAGGGTACGAGGAAGAAGATGAGACCAATTTGCCTTGCTTTATTTTCTGCGCTAAACTCCACTGCGGCAGCCGAATGGAATGCCTTTGACTCCTTATTACTTGTTGAGAAAGGAACTTGAATTCTGAAACTTCTTCGACGTGCTTCTGCATGGAAATTTTCGTTGCTTCTTTCATTAAAGAGACAAAACAAGAAAGCTTAAATGATCTGACATCTTATTCTAATTTGAGCCCTTTCTTTCTTTCTGCTCAAACGTATTCTAATTTGATACGTCCGAGTGATAGGATTAATTTCAATAGGTAGAATTAGATAAAATAAAAAATAAGAATTCAGATTAAAATAATTTGATGAGGATAAGAAGATTTATTGGAATTTGATATATATTTTTTATTATAAAAGGAATTTATATTTTATCTTTTGCCTAATATAATTAAGTGTTTTTTGGATCAATCCATAACACTCCATATTTAAAAATTAAAAGGCTAATATATCCAAGAAAAAAAAATGAAAAACATTGAAATAAGTGTTTCTAATCAACTTTTTCTTCTTTTTTTTCAAAGGTGAAAATTATCCGTTTTGAGCCGTTAAAATGAGAGCTTTATTTATTTCACAAAGATTATAAAATTTAGTAGACAATGATTTTGAGAGCTTTATTTATTTTACAAGGATTATAGAATTTGGTAGAGAATGATTTTGTTGAGCATTATCTACATGATCCTAATATTACTGAAGATTAAAAAGATCAAATAAATAAAAATATACATAAAGATGCAAGAGCTCTAACAACAATCAATTGATATTTCCTCAAATCATTGTGGTATCAATATTAACAAAAGATTAAAAAAATATTAAAAAGTTTTATAATCGAATCACAGATAAAAACTTCAATGCTTCAAATTTTTTGACGTGAATTCAAAACTTTTATAATTAAAAATTTTGAATCTATCATTGATCTTTGCTCAAAAGTTTCTTTTATTGTAAACCAAATGAGATTTTATGATGAAGATCAAAAAGATCGAATTGCAGTAGAAATAGTTCGAATTTGATCAAAAAGATCGAATTCTTTTAAATCTAAAATTTGATATGATTTCTATTATTATAAAAGAAGCTAAAGATACAAGTATATTATCTATTGATGAATTAATGGGTTTGCTTTTAGTCTATGAACAAAATAAATAAATAAATCTTCGGATGAAACTTTAGAACATACTCATCAAAATTAAGATAGATCAAAAGAAGGAGCAGAAGAAAAATTCAAAAACTAGATCTCAAAGGAGAGATCAAAATGGCAAAGGTCGATCAATCGATAGTCAAAAGAATTCTAATGAAGGTGATAAGAAATCCACCAATATTTTTATTACAAAAGAAATGGATCCCTTCTGATCATACAAGCCACATCTCTAATATGTGGCATTTGCCTGGACTTGTCATGTTCTTGACATTGTAACATTTTGACACAATTAACCGGTCCCATAATGTAATACTTTGATGCGGATGCAGATGATCGTATGCGATGTTCAAGCTCTTGCAGCTCAGTTCTTTTATCTGATCGTTTGATAAACGTTGTACACTTTCAACGCCGATCTCATCCCTAATAAACAAAAAGAACTCTCCGTAGTAGATCTTGGTTAAACGGTAGCAGCACAAGGCATATAAGTCAACGATTGAGCTGACTGTGTCAAAATTACTACGATACGACGTGCATGAACAACGTGTGTTGAGGCTGACACCGAGTTCAACTTCGACGACATGAATCCCGAGTTCTAAGTATATTAGCTGTGGGAGTCGCACGTACGTCATCAGATAAGCACCGAGAAAAAGCTTCAGAAAAAAAAGTCTATACAGAATAAAACACAAACAAAACTGTTGATTAATAGTGTCGGAGTTCCTTATCGACATCAGTCCAACGTCAGACTATAAATCTTTAAATATCAAAATTGCTGATGAATAATGTTGGAGTACCATATCGACATCACTCATGATGATAGAGTAATCGTCATCATGACTGGTGTTGATGTTAACACTCGACAAGAGCCAGGACGTACAGACTGAGGCTCTCAGAATTCTCAGGTGACTGCTGACCACCCTTTTGATTTTGCCGCATGGCCCAGTTGCCAAGAAATTTCTCTTGGCCAAGCCTGCATGGTTCAGAAACCTGGACCTGCACGGTTCTAACCTCTTATGTATGCACGAGTTGCTTGTGCACTAACATTCCTCGTTCGCCAAGTACACACACAAAGACGTAGCTAGCTACGAGGATAACCATGCCTACCATTGGAGTCGCAGTCAGCAACGCAAAAGTATTGGAGAGGACTCGGAACAGATGCCGACGCATGAGAGGAAGCCAGGGCAAGAAGATAACTGATCTGCACTCTCTTTCGAGAGCTGTCGTAAATTAAGATTCGAACGAGCAATATGATTTGAGAATGGCCAGCTTTAGTAGCGGGGACGTATACATAGAAGGCTATTTGGTGAATTAGTCGATAGTGCATGTATTCTTCACGTTAAGATGCTGACCAGTTTAGTCGATAATGACTGATGGCAAGCTGCGGTAGTGAATCCGCCTTGACCACTAAATGTTAAGATCATATAGTCGTAGAATGACTGGCATTAAAATAAGTGTTTCTAATCCACTTCTTCCTTTTTCAATCAGTGTGTTATGGTCCACCTTCGAAGGTTTGCAATTGCTCCTTTTTCTCTTTGTAGGATATAAACAACCTCAGCACGTCATCCAACATATGCAAAGGACAATACATAGTAGAAGTAATCATTCCATTTTAATGTAGATCTACATGATCTAGCTAATGATGTAGTACAATGAATCATTCTCGACACGTCGTTCAAGGATAAGGATGACATATAATTATTTTGCTTTGTTATACAAATATTAGATTGATGCTATTGTATATCCTTTAGAAAAAGAAATCAAAATCATAATCTTTATATATGTGATTTAAATTAAAAGATGTGGATAGTAAATAAAATTTTATATTAGTACTTGTCACATTTACTAAAATGGTATTAAAGTAAAGCTGATATATTTTTACTCGGATGGTCTAGTATTTAAACAATAAAACTAAGTTAAATCACTAAAGTCAAATAAAACTAATAAATCAATTTATCAAAATGAGATAGACAATACCGAATCAGCTAAACTATGAATTGACTAATTGAGTATATGTGTGCACAATAAAATGAATACAAGCGATCATCGCGTATATTATAGGAAGAAGTATATTTATTTTGTGGAGAAAAATTTACCCTCTCGAGAAATGATCAATAAGGTAAACAATATATTAGAAGTTAAACTTATGGGATTATTTAGGCACAATCATAGTGGTGAAAAGTATTATTTATAGAATTCATTCTATAACTACCAAAACAAAGTAATGAAAGGATAAAATCTTTATTAAGTTTTTGTTAGTGA